CCACTTCCAGCTGCATAAGCAGCGGTGGTATGTCTTCAGCTGATCATGGATCCATTGGGGTGGCTCATCTATGGCCACAGGCTGCAAACCACCGGCCAAGAATCTTTGTTGGGCTTGCACACAGGGTTACTGTTACAGCAGGGGTGGGATTTAGCCAATGGTAATCTTCCAATCCCACAACACCACTTCCAGCTGCACAAGCAGCGGTGGTATCACCGGATCATGGGATGCTTCAGGAGTCTGACGGTAACAGTGCAGTCCTAAAACAGACTTAGACTCTTCAAGGACCACTGAAGTTAAGGGCTCAGAAGAGTATAACTCTGTTTAGGATGGCCCTGTTAGAAACTTAACTTGTTTAGGGCATACAAATTTGGCAAGGATCACCATACCCCTGCCAGGAGTGGGGGATCCCCTGCCCCCAGCAGGCACCTACCCCCCCACACTGCTCAGCCAGCCTATGGGACAGGAGGAATAGCAGCAAAAGAGAGGAGGGGCAGCAGCAATGTACAGACATCACTCCCCATGAACCCAGAAGTAATGTCAGTGCATTGCCAGGCAATGCTGGGGACACTCTAGCATTTGAACAAAACTCTATGGTTAACCACAGAGGTTTTCCTCAAATGCCAGAGTGTCCTGGTGCCACCCATAGACATGCCGACGTCACTTCTGGGCACACAGAAAATGACACGAGAACAGCAAGGTAATTATGTCGCTGGTGAGCCAACCCTCTGCCACCAATAGATCCCCCCACTAGTTGCAAGCCCTGCCTGTCAACTCTACAAGGGCCCCACATTTGGACTCCATCAGGAAACGTCTGATCAAGCTCCACACTCTAGTTGAGGAGAGAGGAGTAAGAAGTCTGTGCAAGCACACCAACAAACTGTGTTCATGCCTTACTGGAGTTTAATTGCAGTTTTTAATGACATCTGAATAGAGCATGTGTCAAAATTCACATCAACTGCATTTTAAAAATCAACCAGTTTAAATACATATGGCAGATTATGGAGTACCATATTGGCAATTTTGTATTATTTATGCTTTCACCATCATGGGGGGCATTGTTAGAAAACCATAATAATATGCTAGAGTGTTGGACCGAGATCAGGATCACCTGTTTTCAAATGCATGCTCAGCTCATTAAACTCAGTAAGTGGCAGTCACATCCTAAACAGAGTTACACCCTTCTAAGCCTGCTGACTTTAACAGAAGACAGTAACTCTCCTTAGAATGGCACCAGCCTATCACAGTTGTTCAATTAAAATGAGGAGGGGGAATATTTTATCTCTGTCCTATATGAATGAAGGACAGAACATAAATAAAAACTAGACTTTTCTGTTTCCAGCACCAAAACATCTTGAGTCATCTCTGATGGGCATGGAAGAAAATAATCTATTCCCAGACATGGCAGTAGTGCAGTGATAGTACAGAGAAAATCCTAAATGGTGCATGGGGAGAGCCAGTATGGTATAATGGTTAAGAGCGTCAGACCCAGTTTTGAATCCCCACTCTGCCATGGAAACTTGTAGGCCAGTCACACACTCTCAGCCTAACCTACATCACAGGGTTCCTGTGAGAATAAAATGGAGAACAATGTAAACTGCTTTGGGTCTGCACCGGAGGGGAAAGTGGGGTAGAAATGAAGTAAATATTTTTTTAAAAAACAACCTGTGTAGAGTCAGTGAATTTTAATGAGGGATTTAAAAGAGCTGCGGGAAATTATCTTAATAATACTTGTCACAAGTACAGGAATTAACATGGTAGAAGACAAAACCCCACAAACTGGAGATAGGTGAAGTACTGAGGGCCCATGATGACATCCTGAATTTTAGAAGCCACTGCAGCGCAATTATTTCCCTGTCACTGGAGTTAATGTGAGAAGCTCCTGGCCACAGGACAGAAGCCTCCCCGTTCCCAGCCCCTTCTTCAGTTTTAGGGAGATGTGATGCTGGGCTCCTCATACATGGCCCAGTGTTTCTCATAATAATCCAAATCTTGCTGTAACATCTCCTGCACCACACATGATACGTGATTTCCCCCCACTATCAAACTAATCTTAATCCAGTGCCATAGTTCTGGCACAGCTGTTCTTGAAAAAGAGCAGTTTCTGTCAGAGCTCTCTCAGCCCCACCTACCTCACAGGGTGTCTGTTGTGGGGAGGGGAAGGGAAGGTGATTGTAAACTGCTCTGAGACTCCTTTGGGTAGTGAAGGGCGGGGTATAAATCCAATCTCTCTTCTCTTCTTCTTCATAATATGTAGCACCCAGGGAAACACCTTCCTAACCTTTTCCCCCCTTTAAAGAGCCTACACATTTTCTTGTAGAAGAGATGTGGACTAAATTTAAAGAGCCAGGGTTAATGAAATAGGGGGCAATCCTGAATTGGAAAGGGGCAATCCAGATTGCTGCATTGAGCTATATATGGGACTACCTTTGAAGAGCATTTATATAGTTCATCTGGTTCAGACAGCAGTAAATAGATTACCAACTGTGCATCCTCCTGTTCTGAACATATTTCAAATCTTAAAAGATCATCCTGGGGTGCCAGTCTGGGACGATGAAGTTCTAAATGGATCCTTACCAATACATCTCAAGGGCCATTTCCTCCCACAAGAGGCTGCTCCAGATACACCCATATACAGAGTGACTAGGGACATGTTTGTTTGTGTGTGGTGGTAACCCAAACTGCAAAATACCCTCCTCATAAATCTTTGCTTAGTATCTTGCCATTTAGGTGGCAATTAAAAACGGTGTAGCTTGCTCAGGCTTTCAAAGAATGGAGTTGCATATCATTGCTGCTAATTAACTCTGTTTAAACTTATGTTTAAACCGAGGGGTTTTACATTCTTTGTAAGTCACCTTGGAGGTTTTTATCATGGAAAAGTAGGATACAAACGTTTTAATAAATTAATTACATTTAAGATTTCCTGGTATGCAGCATCATTTAAAAAAAAATTTAAAAAAAGATGTCAGTAAATAAGTGAAAAATAATTAAAGTCACGGGATGGCACAGGAGAAAAGTTATGTCACATCAACAGGGATGTCAACAGCACTATGCAATAGATACCAATGACATCTTCTTTCCAAACCTCATGGGTTTGTGCAACATGTGAGTTAGAAAGGTTTCCAGTCACAGAATATTTTTCAGAGATAGTCTTTTATTTCAGAACACTACAGTTTTGTGGGTCCAAACATATCGCAGAGCTACCCATGCTTTGAAATGTTAGCCACAAATCACATAAATGCTAAGCATTATTAAATATTTTTCAAAACCAAATGTAAGTGGGGAGATTTGATATTTTATATTTCAAACAGTAGTTATATAAGAGGGAGGAAATTTGTTTCTACCTTAAGGCAACCAAGTTGGAGGAAAACACAAAGCAAGTTTATGGCCCAATACTCTGGTCAGGGATGCCAGTCTCCAGGTGGGACCTGGGGATCCCCTGGAATTACAGCTCATTTCCAGACTACAGAGATCAGTTCCCCTGGAGAAAATGGATACTTTGGAAGGTGGACTCTCTGGCATTGTATCCCTCTGAGGCCCCTGCCCTCCCCAGGTTCCATCCCCAAATCTCCAGGAGTTTCCCAGCCTCGATCTGGTAACCCCCGCACATGCAGAGGCAAATCTTGCCGTTTCAAACATTTAGAAACGGAGGAGTACAGGGCAATGAAAATGCTTATCCAAGGCCAGATAAGGAGATTATAAAAGGAATGAACTAGGGACCGGCAGATTTTAGTAAAGGGTTGTATGATCCAAGCAGCATTGAAATCACAACGATACAGCCAATATAATTAATATAAATACTAATCCCTCTGAATTAAAGTAACCGTGCATAGGAATGCGGCTTCTTCTGCAGAGGCGAGGGAGGGACCTCGGTAGAACTGGTGTGGAATCGTTTTTCAAAGGACGAGGGGGAAAAAATACATTTCCCAGCTTGCTTCGCTACCACATGCCGCAGAAATTTCCTGTCGCAAAGAATCACTTCCCTAATATGCCACGCCTCAGTAATGCAAGGCCCCAGTCGGGGGGGGGGGGGGGGGAGCACTGAACTTGGCAGGTCAATAGAAAGGAGGAGGAAGGGAAACAGGCAAGGCACGTTAGAGAAGCGCACGCTTCCTGGGCATTTGCAGCATCCACTGCCTTTTGCAAAGGTTTGAAAAATTCAAGAGTGGTTCTTTTGCAAGGGGGAAAAAAGTGGGGGAGGCGACGAACAGATTTTCTCTCCCCCCACACCGGGTGCATGTCTAACCTCAGGAGGAGCTAAGAAACTCCTTAAACCGGAATCCGGAAAAGCAAAGTCATTATTCTTGATCGACTTGCACTTTACATGATAATACACCGAGGAGGAGAAGAACACAATCAGAAGTCGTTGATGAACTATGGACGGGGGAGGGGGGAATGATTCAAATAGTTTCCCACCCCTTCCAGACAGCATGTCCCATTTCCAGGGCGGCATACGCTTCGTTTCCCATCCTGGCCTAAGAGGGACGAAGCGCAACGTACACAAAACTAAAAATAATGATAATAATCATATTTTCATGGAGGGGGTACAGAGGACGTCGGCTCATCAGGGCTGGAAAGGTTAATTATGAGGGGGGGGGACTCCGTCCCAGAGCTTTACTTTCATTTTCTCTAATATGACTTTGCACAACAGAGGCCTAAACGCCCAACTCCTCCTCACCCTCCCTCTGCCTGCTTTCTCTTACACATCCTTTCAAGGCGACATCCCTTCATTTTCCGCCCTCCCTCGCGAATGATCCCCCACCCCAGAAGTCTTTCCAAAGCCTTGCGAAAAGCCTCCTCGCAACACCACCCCTAAACGTTCTCAGACACAATTCCCCAAATAAGAGGGCCGGCCACTCCCCTGGAGCAAGGACGCCAGCCCCAAAGACGGCATCCCCCCGAAAAACAGGGAGAGGAAATAAGGCCTGTCCGAAAATCCCTCCGGGCTCATCAGCACCCACAGCCATTTCAGCCCCACAACGACCAGAGAGCACACTTACTCAGTTCGTCTTGGGCAGCAGAGGCGGCCGCAGCCATGTTGTCAGCTGGGGAGAGAAGGAGGGAGAATGAATCTTTCTCCGCCGAGTCCCTTCAGTCAAGGATTGCGGGTGACTTGGGGGGGGGAGGAGATGACGAGGAGGTTTCCCCCCTCCTTTCCCTTCACCCTCCTTTCCCTTCGCCCTCTTCTCTTCCCTACAGCTTCTCCTCCTCCTCCTCCTCCTCTGGAAATCGAGCTGCAGAGAGAAGGGCTGGTGGCTGCTTTTCTCCTCCTCCCTCCTGTGACTCTCCCCTGAAACACCAACCACCGTAAGAGAGAGATAGACAGCAAGCGCTTATGCCCTGCGATTCTCTCTGTGTGTGCATCTACTTTTTATACACACACACACAACCTCCCCCCCCCATGCACCCTCTTTGGCTTTACTTTTTAGTTTTATATTTAGAAAAGGCTGAGGCATCGTCTCACACACACACACACCCAAGCCTTCCATCTAATTTTTTTTTTCCGCGTTCTCTTTCCTTTACTACCGTCAGTCACTCCGCTCCCGGCTTCTTCGGGGAAACTAAAGCCAATAGCTCCACACACGGATGCCCTCGGGGTATTAAAATACGGTGGCGGGGTGGAGCCCTCTAATTTCTTTGTTCGTCCCCCGAAAAATCTTTCTCTCCTCTCCTGGATTTTGCTGGTCCGATTCATATAAATGTTCTTACAAGATGGGGGGGGGGGGGGCGGCGCGCTAGAAGGCACTGACCTGAGTCCATGCTGACCTCCATGGCTGGTGATGTATACTTTTCCTCCAGAGTGGGGATGGGGGAGGGGGGGAAACAGGTCAGCCTCTATTTAAAAAAAAAAAGCTTTTAAGAGTTTCTCCCCCTATCTGCAGAAAGTGATTGTAGCAGCCTGAAAATTTTCTACCTAGAAAGATGCTTGACTGATGCAGAGCCTGGCTTTAGAAAATGGGGCCTGAGGGAATCATTCAAGAGCAAAACGCTAAACACAGATTAGTTACCCTTTAACCATCTTTTCGGGCTTGCACACGGGGTGATTAAAGAATCCCATTGTGAAAAGGATGCGGGTTTTAAAATTCATGTTTTTCAATCCCCATGTGCATAAGAAAAATACTGACACAGTCAGTGGAATCCTATGCAGAGCTATAATGACTTAATCTCATGTATTTCAAGGTGCTTAGAATGACCTAACAGTGCATAGGATTGCTCTGTGTGAGTACAGAAAATGGGATAAGATAGGATTTTATAAAATGATGCCTGGGGTAGAAAAAGGACACAGAACTTTTCCTCCCCCTCACAGGGCTTTAAAAAGGGATTAAACAAATTAATGGAAAATAAAACAAGTTCACTGACACCATAGAAACTAATGGAATTATTCTAGCATATTCTTTCAGTGACTTCTGATGCATGAAATGTACATCCATTAGGGTCATTCATTTATATTTACAACAGATTTACAAATTACAGATATGTTTATATTTACAACAGAAAGATAGGTTGGGGGGGAAGTTACAAACGGTTGTTGTTGTTCAGTCGCACAGTCGAGTCCAACTCTTCGCGACCCCATGGACCAGATCACGCCAGGCCTTCCGGTCTTCCGCCGTCCTCTGAAGTTTGTTCAACTTGGTTGCATCTATGACACTGTCTAACCATCTCATCCTTTGCCGTCCCCATCTTCTTTGACCTTCAATCTTTCTCAGCATCAGGGTCTTCTCCAGTGAGTGCTCCCTTCTCATTTGGTGGCCAAAGTATTAGAGCTTCAGTTTCATTATCTGGCCTTCCAGGGAACAGTCAGGGTTGATTTCCTTTAGGATCGACTGATCTGATCTCCTTGCAGTTCAAGGGACTCTTTCTTCTCCAGCACCATAGTTCAAAAGAATCTATTCTTCGGCGCTCGGCCTTCCTTATAGTCCAACTCTCGCAGCAATACATGACTACTGGGAATACCATTGCTTTGACCATGCGGACTTTTGTTGGCAGGGTGATGTCTCTACTTTTTATCATGCTGTTTAGGTTCGCCATCGCTTTCCTCCCAAGGAGCAGGCGTCTTTTAATTTCATGGCTGCAGTCACAGTCTGCGGTGATCTGGGATCCCAGGAACATGAAGTCTGTCACTACTTCCACGACTTCCCCTTCTATTTGCCAAGGAGTGATGGGGCCGGATGCCATGATCTTAGTTTTTTTGATGTTGAGCTTCAAGCCCACTTTTGCGCTCTCCTCTTTTACCCTGAGCAAGAGGCTCTTAAGGTCCTCTTCACTTTCTGCCACCAGAGTGGTATTGTCTGTATATCTGAGGTTATTGATCTTTTCCCCAGCAAACTTAACTCCAGCTTGTGATTCATCCAGGCCAGCATTTCGCATGATGTACTCTGCATATATATTAAATAAGCAAGGCGACAATATACATCCTTGTCGTACTCCTTTTCCTATGCTGAACCAATCAGTTGTTCCATATCCGGTTCTAACTGTCGCTTCTTGGCCCTTATACAGGTTTCTCAAGAGACATGTGAGGTGGTCTGGTACTCCCATCTCTTTAAGGACCTGCCATAGTTTGTTGTGATCCACACAGTCAAAAGCTTTAGCATAGTCAATGAAGCAGAAGTAGATATTTTTCTGGTACTCTCTTGCTTTCTCCATAATCCAGCGAATGTTGGCAATTTGATCTCTAGTTCCTCTACCTCTTCGAAACCCAGCTTGTACTTCTGGTAGTTCTCTATCCACGTACTGTTGAAGCCTAGCTTGTAGGATCTTGAGCATGACCTTGCTAGCGTGTGATATGAGTGCAATTGTGCGATAGTTTGAACATTCCTTGGCGTTGCCCTTCTTTGGGATTGGAATGTATACTGACCTTTTCCAATCCTGTGGCCACTGTTGCGTTTTCCAAATTTGCTGGCAAATGGAGTGCAGCACTTTAACAGCATCATCTTCTAAGACTTTGAATAGCTCAGCTGGAATACCATCACCTCCACTAGCTTTGTTGTTAGCAATGCTTTCTAAGGCCCATTTAACTTCACATTCCAGGATGTCTGGCTCAAGGTCAGTGATTATACCGTCGTGTTTGTCAAGGACATTGAGGTCTTTCTTGTATAGTTCTTCTGTGTATTCTTGCCATCTTTTCCTAATCTCTTCTGCTTCTGTTAGGTCCCTACCGTTTTTGTCCTTTATCATGGCCAGCTTTGCATGGAACGCTCCCTTGATTTCTCCAATTTTCTTGAAGATAAAGCAATTACAACTGTTGCACTCAGGATACCACCACTTGGGGACCTAGTGGCAGAATACAACGGTTTAAAGCTCTTTGCAACAGTTAGGGACGGAAGGCAGATGTTCGCCGTGTGAACACCTGTAAGTACACTGATTCCAACTGGCACTTATACCGTTGTAAATGCCCCGTCTGAACGCACCCTCTGTGTCATATAGTGGCCAAAACACAGGTGCCATCAGGAGGTCCACCAGTGGGGCCAGAATTCCAGAAGCCCTCCCACTGTTGCCCCCCAAGCACCAGGAATACAGAACACCGCTGCCCCAGATAGAGTGTTCCATCTATACCTTGTGGCTAATAGCCACTGATGGACCTCTACTCCATGTTTATCCAATCCCCTCTTGAAGCTGTCTATGCTTGTAGCTGCTACCACTTCCTATGGCAGTGAATTTCGCATGTTAATTACTCTTTGGATGAAGAAGTACGTCCTTTTCTCTGTTGTAAACTTACGAAGAAGTACGTCCTTTTCTCTGTTGTAAGCTTACTGCTCATTAATTTAATGAGTTCTTGTGAGTTCTCTACCTGCTCCATCCCATGCATAATTTTGTAAACCTCTATCATGTCACCCCTCAATTGTCACTTCTCCAGGCTAAAGAGCCCTAACCTCTTTAACCTTTGTTCACAGAGGTGTTCCATTCCATTGTTTTAGTTGCCCTTTTCTGCACTTTTTCCAATGCTATATCTTTTTTGAGGTGCGGTGGCCAGAACTGTACACAATATTCCAAATGAGGCTGCACCATAGATGTATACAGGAGCATTATGATACTGGTTGATACCGAAACATATCGGGTTGCGAACTAAACCTGGCTTCCTGCCCCTGATGACCACAGCCATCAAAAAACATGCCTGCTCATACCTACATAGTCTCTTCTTCTGTCTAGCCCATCTTGAGTCCTGCCCCTGCAAGTCTGCATTTTTAAAAGATTAATCTTATATGCCTTCTGAATTGTAAAGGTGTTTTTAAAAATAATTATTACTTGGGATTTAAGAGTGATATGATTGTTTAAAGGTTGTGTTGGTTTGTCTCATCCTTGAAATAAAAGGCTGCAGGGCAAAATTGCACTTAATTGATCAGGAATTATGTCATGCAGGTAGAGGACTGAAAAAACAGGAAAATACAGGAAAAAGCAGAGGCGGCAGGTGTTTTCCCCCCCAAGGACATTTTTCAGCTTTTCCAACAGGAAGCACTAAAGAAAAAAACTCATAGGAATTATTTACTCTTTTGGAATGTGTTTAAGGTTTCTGAAGATTTTTTTCCACTCAAAATGTATAGCATGAAAAAGTCTGAGGATTTTTTTCTGTTTGTCCACTGGAAAAATTGGGGAATCTGGGGATTTCTAGAAAAGAACTATTTTCTTTTGAAATGAGTGAAAATTTTTAAGGTAATGTTTTACTCACAATGTGTGTTATAAACATCCTATATAAGATTAGATAATTCCTATATATACTTTGAATATATAAAACATATTTCCAAGAATGTTTAAATTTTAATAACTTTGGCAATAATTGCTATAATTTATTCTTTTTTATATAATATTTTATTTTACCATACAAAAAGGGGATAAAGGGAAAGGTGAGAAGCATAAAACGTCATTTGTTAAACACATTTTAAGGATATTACATAATATAAGAATATAAAAGATGAAAAGGTATAATAATAAAGAATATCATAACAAATTAAAATATAGTAAAATAATCCATACTTCAACATAATATATTTCCATGTATATTTCCATCATTTCCTGTCTAAAGGGCTAGGTAGGAAAGCATATAAGCAAAAACATAAGAAAGGAGTAAAAAATTTTTTTCTTATCTTAAGAGATCCCCATCCTGCCATAGAAGCCTGCAGGGTGACCTTGGGGCAGTCTCTGTCTCTCAGCCTCACATACCTCATAGGGTGATTGTTGTCCCAATAAAAGGGAGGCAAGGTATCAATAAGAAGTAATCAAATAAACAATCCACAGATATTTAGTAATATTGGCACAGTTCTGCGAGCCATGCATAAGTGCAGCAAGTTCAGCATTTTTCCGTTCTATAGAGGTGACAAAACACAAGTCAATGGGTAGAGACGGTTAATCTGTAGAAATGTTAAACCTTAAAAGTAAATGCATGTGGCTTTCTTTCTTACAGAGAATGTTGGAAAATATCAAATATTTGCAATACTTCATTGCTGATCACTACCAAACCTGGAATAGAATTTTGATGTAACAATTTTTTAAAATATTGACAGCAAGAACTTGACAGTGCCAAATACAGTGTGTGGAGAAAGGTTCTCCAGCCCAGAATTCACCTCAAGGCTTCAACCATTGGGACTTCATCCTGTTTGTGAGTTGGAACCCAGCTGCAAACTGGTAGCTGGCAGGAAGAAGGGCCAGGGGCTGAACCATCAAGCCCAAACACAGATCTCTTTAATGCTTACATATACTACTAACTCTGGCTGAAGTAGGGCAGTGGTTTACCATCTCACACCTTGCAAGAATGTCACACCTCAGGGAGGAGAGGGAAACAGCCAAATTACTAGAATGTATTCTC